AGGAAGATGCTTCTCTGCCGTCACGCAGACAAGCGCTTCACGACCCACAGGGCGGTGCTCTGAACGCAAACGGCTGGATCAGGGATCGCCTCTTGCTATGATTTATTGCAGAGTCCTACGTAACCGCAGGTTTTGGCTGTGGTGTGCAGTTACACACAGTCTCTCTTCTCATGTTACTGTTTCAAAATCCAACAAATCAGTTTTAAGTGAACAAATTTTTAGTCACCTTACACTGTCATAAGCTCCTTCAGAAACTCAAACCAAACCCAGACCATTCCCGTGGTTATTTCCCGGCCGTGAAGGATGACACAACGAGGCAGTTTCCCAGAGATACGTATTATAAAGCATTCCCACCACCCAGCACTTCACAGCGAGCCGTCTGTACCTTAGCTCTATCCGACCAGCCGAAGGACTGCACAGTAACATCCAAACGTTTCACTAACAGCTTTCTTCGGACTTCGTATTCATTAACTATGGCTTGATTAATTGCTTCAATTTTTTCCTGAAACAAAAATTTGCAAACATAACCTATAGATTAGAGAAGAAATGCTTCTACTTCAGATGATAAACTATGTGGATGGAAGAGAACAAGACACACAGAGACATTAAGCAGGGCTTAAGCCCACAACTAACAACCTCGTCAAACGGGCTCACAGCAAGCTCTGCCTGCCGACGCTACTCTCCCGAGGGCTTCAAAGGCTCCGTTACCCTCTCATCCAGCCTCCTACACTTCTAACAGCACAGCTGCCTGTTTTTCAGAAGGGACATAAAAACTGCAGGCGCTGCTGAGGCATTTCTCAACACCCACCATGACAGAGAAGCAAAGGTGAGACAATACTGCGCGCAACAAGCTGAAGGAGGCCCAAGGACACACGTAGTCCTAGGGACCAGGGTGCCCTCGCCTCCTTAAAAAGTACTGAGCTTAGGGACAGAGAGAGAGCAAAGACAGAGGGCTAAAAGGAAGGCAAGTGCTGCAAGAGGATCTCGATTAAAGCACAGTCTGCACAGAGACAAGACAACAACGTGCCCTACGGGGGAAACCCACCCGGCAGCAGGCAGCGACCCAGCCAGAGCAGCAGCTGAGACCAGCACCTCTAAGGGACAAGCGAGGGACCGGCTGGAGCCTGGCTGAGAGGGGCGGCGGGGCCGCTTGCCGCCCCCACAACACAAGCCCTGAAGGAAGCAGAGCGCTGGGGACAGATGAGCTTCAGCCTTCAGCGAGACACACAGGAGGGACTCCCAGTCTTGCGGAGCAGCAGCCGGAGGCGG